GGTAACAACCTGACGGAATGTGTGCAGGTAATGAGTAATTGAACTGCAGTCATAGAGAGGCGTATTGTTGAAGTCGAGCTCGTGAGACGTGAATTATAGTTTGTTATAGCGCGACTGTTGAAGTTGAGGGTATCATAAAGTTGTATTCCGAAAGAATAAACCAGTTTTATTTAAGAAAGGACTTGTGTCGCTAAAGTTTCGTCGGAACGAATTTTCAGAAAATCAATTAACAAACGGAGACGTAACAATACTATCAACTCACTCGCAGCTGTTCTCTTGAAAATGTAAATATTTCTAGCTTTTAATGAATTGTTTAAAGGATTCCATTCCTCACATTAATGTTATGAAGATAATTTAACCTAATGATAGATACCCTGAGAGTTTCTCAACACTGTTTTTTTCACACACTAAATTGTCAACAGTTTACTGAACTAAGTACTTTTTTATGATGATGTGACAGCCTTCACAATATGTACATATACCTATTTATGTGTAGGTACCAATATTATAAAATACTCCATAAACATAATTAGTGAGTAAAAATGTAAAGCAACATGTTTAAGAAAACCACATGCAAGTTTTCTTCAAAAAATAAAAACTAAATATTGACACAATGGTTGGGTAAAAATATTTAAATTTACCAAAAGTTACCTCTCCTCTGGGATATCTGTAATGAAATTTATCCTTATCTCGTGATGCAAAATCATGAGGATGTTTTTCATGAATTTCTTCGTAAGTCATTTCTTCACAGATCCCCTAGTTTCAAAATGTAATCACCAATAAGTTACTGTCTTTATGTTGTTTTACCTTAAATATATTGTATACTTTATATGAATTTTTTCTATGAATAATTAATCTTCATTTAAACAACTCTTACCAAAAAAATATTTCAAATAACAGTAACTTGCATCAGTTATTCATTACGATATAAAATGGAAACCAACTTGAAAAGCCAATTATTATACACAATATGGGTGAATTTCAACCACAACTGTCAAATAATTTTAGAGGTAGTACTAAATAATGTACTATAGTCTAATGTTTTTACAATACTTTCTAAGCTTTTAGATTATGAAACAATTTTAAAAATCACCTCAAATACAGAAACATTTGATATGTCTAATATTTATTTTATGTTTCTGAGTTATAAACAAATTAAAGATCTTCATAGCATTTTTCTAAATGGTTGATGTAATGAAAAATATAACTAGATGTTATTCATAAGTAAAGAATTACATGTAGGTAAGTGACATCTGCAATAAACAGTGGAATGATAAGATATATCTGGTAATGAGTCACTGACATCTAGAGAATGAAGGTTAAAGTGTAGGAACTGACACATTTTAGAGGTGAATTTTAACACAAGCAGTATGAGGAAGAGATAAAAGGTTGTACACACACCAAAAAGTTGAACTTAAAATAATACTCTGTTTATGTGACTAGTTCTCTCTGTACTGGTTTGTAGATAAGCTAGGCTTTACCATACAAAGATGAATTGTGTGACAACTAGGTCAGACTGACATTAAATAAAACAAACTCACTTGGTCACTGAACAGATATGATGAACTTTAACCAGGACTACAAAATGTGTTCTCATGGAAAAGTTGGGCTAGTCACATGTAATGGTGACCTTCTGACCATCCAACAATGTCCACTCAAATAATACCATAAGAAGAGCAGATATAGCACTTTCTGGAGAAATGTTGCAATCTTAAGATACAGAATTATAGAAGTCAAAACTGAACTGTTACTAAAGTCTGAAATTTAAAATATTAAAAGAAATTAGAATATTGTAGACTCCTTTCACTTGTGTCCAAGAAATGAAATAAGTGTAATATGTGGTCACTTTTTTACATGCTCTAAACAGAGTTTATCCCATACTCTCTTTGACTAGTGTTCAACTGGTCACTTTTTTACATGCTCTAAACAGAGTTTATCCCATACTCTCTTTGACTAGTGTTCAACTGATCACTTTTTTACATGCTCTAAACAGAGTTTATCCCATACTCTCTTTGACTAGTGTTCAACTGGTCACTTTTTGAACTGAGTTTATCCCATACTCTCGTTGACTAGTGTTCAACTGGTCACTTTTTTACATGCTCTAAACAGAGTTTATCCCATACTCTCTTTGACTAGTGTTCAACTGGTAGGTTAGTTTCAAGTAACTGCTGTAACTTCTTAGTATCATCGATGATGTTAAACGAAATCTTTAAATCTAGATTTGAAGAAGATTTCAGTTGTTTCAGAGACATTACATAATTATACCATTCAAGATACAATGTTTACTTTGTGTGTTACTGTCTATTCTATGAGTGTTACCTAGTATCCAGTGCCATTTTACTAATGCCTATACATGTAACATAAAAATGTCTCTGTTGAACAAATCAGGTTTAATTCTCGAGTTCATTAAATGTTTTTCACACCACGGCAAACAATACATGTTGTTTATCTAATTGTTTCAAACAGAGCTTACAGCATTTATTTCGTCTAAAGCCTTCCATCTTTCTTGAGGAGCATCAATCCCTGAAGCAGTCTGTATTGTGCGTTTCAAGTTACTTGTCCAAACGCGCAAACGAAGAATTTTTTGTTCCAAAATGAACTTTGCCAGAGCTCTTGAATACTGAAAATGTACAAAAGTTTAGAAATTCCACCAAGATTAATTGTTTATTGTTAATATTCTAACTAATTATATACAAAATGTTATCAGATATGTTTCAAATAGGAATTTATCAAGACTTCAAAATCTCAAAGGTAACTGTTTAATTTTTTCTGTATAATTAAGTTAAAATTTAAATAAAGAAAAATGTGGTCGAAGCTACACCTGAACCTTTAAAAGAATAAGGTGAATGAAATAATTTAATAGTTCAGCTATCAAATAAGAAGAACTTTCTACCTAGGACCTGTAGGTCACTGAGTAGCATCATTTAATGAAAAACCATACAAACTATGAAGTATTGATACTCCTACTTTTAACCTTTCATTTGAATATTACAGCTCCCTAACTTTATATTCTACAGTTATGGTTGAATTGATAAAAATCTTACCATCCTGCCTCTCTCTGAAAGATTGGAGTCGCCACCTATTCTTCCTTGTATGTTGAATTCACTTTCTCCATGCTGGTAAGAAAATACAAATTTTATTCTCTCAATATTTTGACTACAAACCTTCTTCAGGAGAGTGTGACACTGTAGTGCCTTACAAGGGTATATATACAAATTTTCCCGGATTAGGTTTCTGGTTGCTGCGCCATGCCTCTCCCTTATTGGTTCATTATCATCGTCTGTCAACCACCACATGACCAATCAGCATCCTACTTTCACCTCACTAGGCTAGCTGCTGTTTCTGTCCAGTTGTAGTCTTCCAATGTAGTGTTTATGTTCCTTTGTAAAAAAGATGTAAGCAGCTTCTATAGCTTTCCTTTGTTGTTTTTTCATCCCTTTGCTGATAGCTTTAGTTTCTTTCCATTTAGGCAGGTGTCTTGCTTCCTCTACATGTGCTACTATTGCATTGGTTGTATTGTGCCTTCTGACATTTACTTTATGCTCATTTACTATGGTTCTGAGGCTTCTGTCAGTTTCACCTATATAAACTTTACTGCATCCATCACATGGAGTGTATATACAGTATAGTACTTCATATCTCAAGCAGATAAAGGTGGAGGAGTAGTCATCATGGGCAGGAGTGAATACATAGAGAAAGAAGGAGAAGGGTTTCACCAAGAAGGAAGCTGGAATATTCAAGCAGAAAGCAAAGAAGATCCTAGGGAAGACAGAGACTGGGAGGAGATTAATGCACTTTTTAGAAGAAAACCCTCACACTCCAGCCATGAGGAGGATGCCAAAGGTACACAAACCAAGAATCACCATGTGGCCCATAATATTAGGCATAGGCAGTGCACCACACAGGTTAGCCAAGGCCAAACCACTATACCAGGCCTTGGGATATATAAGCAGATAACATCTGAAGAACTCAACGAACCTTATCAGTAGACTACATTTAATAAGATTCGAGAACAAGAAGATGGTGAACTTTGACGTAAAATCGTTGTTCATGAAGGTACCAGCAGAAGCTGTTATCAGGGCTGCAACCAGAGTGATACAAGAGATGAAAGAAGATGATCTTCCCCTCCCAAGAGAAGATTACACCAAACTCATATAATTGTGTGTAAGATTCGGCCCATTTGAGTTCATCAGACAGGAATACCACCAACAAAACAGCACTTAATGGGCTCACTATTAAGTGCCATCTTAGCTTCCCTAGTAATGGAGACTTTGGAAGAAGAACATTACAAAGACATCATAGGCAGATACACGACATGATTGAGATATGTGGATGATGTTCTAGCCATAATACCAAAATGACAAGACGTGCAGATGATATTAGCAAGATACTAGAAGAAATACAGTTTGCAATAGAAGAAGAGCAAGATGGGAAGATATCTTTCCTTGACACTTTGATTTGGAGAAGTGATGACAGACCAGGTGATATTAGCAAGATACTAGAAGACATACAGTTCATGATAGAAGAAGAGCAAGATGAGAAGATACCATTCCTTGACACTTTGATTTGGAGAAGTGATGACAGACCAAGGTTCTCTGTGTATAGAAAACAAACCAACAGAGATTATTTCATATACTTCTTCTCGGCACATAACAACAAAGTGAAGATAAGTGTGGCATTGGGCTTCTTCCTGAGGGCATTATAGATATGCAGCCCAGGATAATTATATCAAGAAAATTAACATATAATGGAAGCTTTCAGGAAGCTGCAATATTCTACAGGCATGCTTATAAAACTAAAAGAGGAACATCATGGAAAGGAACAACGACAGCAGGCATGTTTATAAAGCTAAAGGAGAAACATCATGGAAAGGAACAACGACAGCAGGCATGC